CTGGTCCTCAGCTGCAGCCCAGGCAGGGCCGACACCCACCCGCAGGTGCTCAGTAAATGCCCAGCAGGTGCGGCCACAGCTGGGGGGCGGGCGCCGCTCAGAGAAGTCAGCGGGGTTGTGAGCGGACTTGGAGCCATGGGGGGAGCTGTCTGCAGGGCGCTGGTTCCGAGGGCTGGGGATCCCCCCTCTCCCCCCAACAGGCAACAGCGCTTCTCGCCTGCCAGCCCCCAACTCCGGCAGGGAGGCCTGGCTGGCGGAGCGGTAACGGGACCTGCTGCCGCTGGAGCCAAGCGCTTGGGCAGGCGCAGGAGACCGGGCGGCAGCAGGCGGCCTGGGGTCCCGGACCGCGGGGGGCGGGGCGGGGCGGGGCGCCCGCTGGGGGGGAGGCCACTCCCGCTGGTGGGGAGGCCCCGCCCGCCCGCCGCGCACTGGGCCTGGAGGGCGCCGTCCGGGCTGGGCTGTCGGTGCCCTGCGCTCGGCCTGCCCGCACGTCACCGCCGCGCACCCGCTCTCTCGGCGTCCAGACCCGGTAAGTCCAGGGCTCCTCGCGGGCTCACGGTGCCCCCGACGGGCGGCCCGAAGGGGACTCCAGGGACCGGTCTGAGCCCAGGGCGCCCCGGGCGCCCCCAGACAGGAGGCGCGCGACCCGGCGGTGGAGGCTCCCTGCTCTCCGTCTCCCCGCGGACCGCAGCCGGCACAGAACCTCGGGCACCTCCGTGAGGACAGCGCTGCCGCTGCTGCTGACCACAGACGCTCTTGCAGGGAGTTTAGGAAACACCCAGAAGCTTCCACAGGAAGGGAACCCGCACCACCCGCCCGCCGGGGCCGGGGCCGGGGCCGCGAAGGGACTTGGGGTGCCGGTGGCTGCTGGCTGCCTTGGCGAGGAGCGCGCGGTCCCGGCGGGTCCCGGGAAAGGCAGGGGGCGGAGCGCACGCCGGTGTCTGATCTGGAGTTCGGTGCCGGTGCCGGCACACGGGCAGCTTCTAGAGAAAGTTGGCGGAGGCAGCCACGTGCTGGGGAGGCCCCCTCCCTCCGTCCCCCCCCCCGCCCCCGCCCCCGCGGGTCTCCAGGCTCCGGTGTGACTGAGTTTAGGTCGAGTCTGCACTGGGGTGAGGAAGGCGCGTCCAGCTCCATGGCGAGGGGCCTGTGCCCGCGCTGTGGCCACGGTCACGGTCACCGCGTGGGAGCTCCGTGGGCCCCGCTGCTTTCGTCACGGGATGAGCTGCCAGAGGCGCCGCGCTCCGGCCTGGTTCCGCCCACAGCACAGACCCGCCCGCCTCATGCTGTTCCGCAGAGGGTCCCGGTGGGTCCCGGTGGGTCCCGCAAGGCTCTCCAAGTTCCCAGAGCGGTCGGTGTGCCTGCCTCCCGCGGGTCAGTAGGACGCGAACTGTTCCGAAACCCAAGTGCCCTCGGCGGACATCAGCGGACTCACCGTGGTCCCCCCGGACCCCCACCCCACCTCCACGCCCCTGCAGGTGGAGCTGGGAGAGCTCTGCGTGTGCGGGCGTCTGTGTGTGCGGGTGTCTGTGTGTGCGGGCGTCTGTGTGTGTGGGTGTCTGTGTGTGTCTGCATGCAGGCATCTGTGTGTGCGGGCGTCTGCGTGTGCGGGTCTGTGTGTGCGGGCATCTGTGTGTGCGGGCATCTGCGTGTGCCGGCGTCTGTATGTGCTGGGGGTTGAACACACCACATGCCTGCGTCCTGGGAGTATGTATGGTGCTCCTACCGCGGCCAGACACTGTTCCGGCCTCCAGGCTGCCATGGGGAGCAAGGCGGGCAAAGACCCCTCCGAAGCTCACGTCTTGGTGGGAGACAAACACTAAACAATGTTACCTGAGCAGGTGAGAGCGCAGGGGGAGGGGAAGCGGCGCCCAGGAGTGGGGAGGTGGGGGGGGGGGGGACATTGTGCTGCTATCAGTCGCCATGCATCACAGCTTCGGGAGCAAGGTGGCCGATATTCATCACACACATTTCAATACGCAAAACACATACTACTAATGGAATACATACATAATATAAACAAAAATGGCTTAACTCAGTGGTTCTCAACCTCCTGGCCCTTTAAATACAGCTCCTCATGTGGTGACCCAACCATAACATTATTTTCGTTGCTACTTCATCACTGTCATGTTGCTGCTGTGATGAATCGCCATGTCAATATCTGATCTGCAGGATGGGCTTAGGCGGCCCCTGTGGAAGGGTCATTCGCCCGCCAAAGAGTCGCGACCCACAGGCTGAGAACCGCTGGTTTAAATTTTACTGTATGAAAACCTGCCATGTGGATAGAGGCTTTCACTTGTTCTCCCCGCCCCCCATCTCCTCCCAGAGTGCATTAGGCTTTACCTGTTATTTGCCCTCACGTTGCCTTGCTTCAGCCCTAGCGCTCTGCCCTCCCATTTGGTTGGGCAAACCGGCCTGGCAGCACCTGGAGTTGGAGTGGGGCTGGGTGAGCAAGTCCCACCTCGCCGAGTGCTGGCAGCAAATGCCCAGACCAATGGTAACAGGGCCCGTTAGGACAGGAGGGATGGGCAGGGCGCTGTGGGGGTCAAAGAGGGCAGGCGTCAGGATGGGGTTCACAGGCGAGGGCCCAGTAGAAGGTTGACAGGCAATATGGTGGCCACGCCTTTCTCGCAGAGAAACTGGCAAAATCGAGAGGCAGGAAGTGGGGCTTGTTCGCGCCCCACAAAGCCCTGGGGGTGGCCAGGGTAGACCCCACTGGTCCCGTGTTCAGAGGGAAGCAGGGCTCCCTGCATGCATTTAACCTGCTGAAGGAGAGTCCGCTGCCTCCCTCCCTGTGACCTCCCCTGCCCCCGGGGCCGGGAACCTGCTTCACCCCCTCTCCCCACCAACTTCTCGTCCTGTCCCGTGTGGTTTGATGGCCCCTCTCCCACTCCAGGTTCGCATTTCCGCCCCTCACACCCGAAGCCCCTCCCCGTCACCCCCGGAGAGGCTGGGAAGCGCCTGGTCCTCTGAGGGACCCCTGCCCGCCCAGGCCCCGCAGGGGGAGCAGGGAGCCCAGTTGGCTCTTGGACAGCAGCTGAGCCCTGTGCAGGCTGCATCTGCGTCCTCCTCCCTGAGACCCTGACTGCCCTCAGGATGCGCTGCCCCCAGGAGGCCACATGGGAGACCCAGATGGAGCTGGCGACCACCGGGAAGGGTTGGGCCTGTGGGCTCATTCCTGCAAGGAGGCCGTGTGTCTCCAGAATTCGGACATGGTGTCCTGGTGAGGATGCGAACGGCTGACAGCTGCTTCAAAGGAAAATTGGTGCATGGAGTTCTTTTTTTAAAACTATACTTTTATTGATTTCAGAGAGGAAGGGAGAGGGAGAGGGAGAGAGAGAGAGAGAACCATCAGTGATGAGAAAGAATCATTGATCGGCTGCCTCTTGCACACCCCACACTGGGGATGGAGCCCGAAACCAGGGCCTGTGCCCTGACTGGGAATCGAACCCTGACCTCCTGGTTCATGGGCCGATGCTCAAACACTGAGCCATGCCGGCTGGGCAACTCATAGAATTCCTGACCCACTAAGACCATATCCACCCACATTGGGCTTTTCCAGAACTGTTTTTACCCCGAGTTTGCTTCCTGAAACAGCTCAGGCCTACTGATGGTTTCCAGGCCTGATGCTCTTTCAAGAAAATGCTGGAGGAATGCTGTTATGATAGGAATGTCCCTCCCTCTCTCCCCAGTAAGTACCTGGAGGCCCGGGGGGCCCAAGGGGCATAGGGTCCATCTAGGACCGAGCCGGGCTGGACCTCAGGATCCCAGACTCCAAGCCTGACTCCCCCGCCCCTACTCAACCCAGGACCTGTCGCTCTGCGGACACAGCGTGGGGCCCCACAGCGCCGGCCGGCCGGGCCCTGCTCAGGAAGCATGCAGAGGTGGTGCTGGGAAGTCGCTCTGAGAGCTCCCGGCTGCTATCGGTGCTGATAGGCGCAGGGCCGGACCATGTGGGGGGATGCAGGGCTGCCTGGCGCCCCCTGCCCCGCGCTGGCACAGAGGGGCCTCACAGAGCCAGGGCCTGGGGTCCAGCAGTCTCCACATGCACCTGTGAGTCAGCATAATGTGCACCTGTGAGTCAGCACAACGGCCGGAGCCCCCAGGGATCCTGGCAGCTCTGGGTCCGAGCTCTGAGAATGTGCAGCGCAGCCCGAGCATCCAAGGGTTGTGTTTGGAGCCAGAGCCTCCGGTTCCTGCTGCTCCTGCGCCCCAGTCCCTTCAGGTGCGAATGGCGGTGGCTCCCCGTGGGCAGGGGACCCTGATGGCACATTTGGGGCCGGAGCCAGGCCCATGTGGTGCCGGGAGCCGGTCCATGCTTGCTGTTTCAAGGGACCTGGCATATATGGCATACTGTTCTTAATATGTTTGCTCACCTTCTTGGCACTATGTGTTTTAACCAAGGTCTCTGAGAAAGGTTGTTTCCCCAGGTAGGGATTTTCCCCTGAGTTAGGGAGGGAATAAAACCTCTTAACTAAGTGCCAGGTGGGTAATTAATCACTTTAACTACGAACAATCATGCTTAAGCTACATAATCTTTACTCCCTGGAATGGAGATAAGAAACGCCCTAACCTTTGTAATAGAGATTGATAGGGTTGAATCAACTGGTATAAATACAGATGTAATAAGACAGCAAGACACAGAACTTAGAATACGGAACCAAGAGAGTCAGAACTTAGAATACAGAACTTAGAACACAGAACTTAGGAGAGACAGAACCTAGGCACAGAACCTACACAGAACTAGAGACAGAAGAACTTCGCTGGAGAGAACATGGCAAAAGATCCTGGACTGAACCTGACTACAGAAATGGGCAAGAGAACCTGTCTAGAACCTGGCTACTGAACCTGCCTGGAGAACCTAGCAAGAGAACATGGACACAGAACCTGGCTGGAGAACCTGGAGAACCTGGCTGGAGAACCTAGCAAGACAACTGGCCACAGAACCTGGCTGGAGATCCTAACCAGAACTTCGCTGGAGATCCAGACCAGAACTTGACTGGAGATCCTGGCTAGGCTGCTGATCAACTGAACGCTATCTCCGTATCATTCCTTCTTCGCCGACTCCGTCCACACCTTTGGGGACCCCTGGACCTGCTGGGGCTGGACCCCAGCAATGTGGGTAGACCCAGTTTTACTAGATCTGGGAGGCCGGTTCCTCAGCTTTTTTGAGCCCAAGTAGGACACCCATTCCTCTGTAAAGACCAGACAGCCGCCTCTCCTGCACTAAGTCTTTGCATTTAGGTGCATTTTTGAGAAGAGGCGTGGCCTTGGGTGCGTCCGCTCCCCTCTGTGGATCCTAGTTGCCTGTGAGTCGAGGTGGTTGGGGCCGTGGCTCTCTGGGTTCACCTGAGTCCACGTCTCCACGCTGGCCCTGGGCAGCGTGTCCCTCCCGTGGAGGGAACGTGGGAATGGACACGCAGCCCCCACTGGCATGCAGATTGGATCCGGGTCATTAAAACTGCGCTGGCGATGCCAGGCTGGTGCCAGGCTCATTTTGAGGCTCATTACACAAAAACACCACGTGACCCAGCGTGCAGGCCCTGGGGGCACCGAGGGCCTTTAGCAAACGCCGCACAATAAATTAAGAGCAAAGTAAGAAACAGATTTTCTTTACTATTTCGGAGTCGTTGCTTGAAGGCAGCTGATGAACTTGACTTCTCGGGGCCGGCGTGAAGCCCTGACAGGCGGGCCGTGGGTTCGGATGCCACGTGAGTTAGGACGGGGGCAGCTGGGCTGCGGCGAGGACATGGGAATTTCTCTCGAAATTTCTCTTCAGATTTCACAGGGACATGCAAGCCCAGAGCAGAGAACCTGAAAAACAAATGAGAAAATTATGGAAAATTTTGCTATGAAATTATGTTCCTCTTTTTTTTTTTTTTTTTTTTTAGAAAAGATTTTTTTTAAGAGAGGAAGGGAGAGGGAGAGAGAGAGAAACATCAATGATGAGAGAGAATCATGGGTCAGCTGCCTCTGAACGCCCCACTCTGGGAATCAAGCCCACAACCCGGGCCTGTGCCCTGACCAGGAATGGAACCGTGACCTCCTGGTTCCTAGGTCAACACTCAACCCCTGCGGGCATGTTTCTCTTCTTATAACATTTTCCCGGTGCCCTGCCGCTCAGAAGATGGAGGGGTCAATGTCCTGAGGCCCCACCCCGCAGCCCAGAGGTTCCCGGGGGCTTTCAGGAACCCAAGGGCAGCGCCGTCTTCGGAGGTGGGATCGGGCCTCTGTAGTTTGTAAAGCTCCCGCTGAGCCAGGTAAGTCCCGGGTTGAGGTTCCCAGGCCGGCAGCTTGCAGCACCCGGAACCTGTCAGAGAGGCACCTGCTCAGGCCCAGGCCTCCCGGGTCAGCCATGCGGGTGGAGCGGCGCTGCGTCTCCTCCCGGTGATGCTAAGGCGCTGAGGTCGCGCGCACTGGTGCAGCCGGGCATGCGTGGCCGGCAGGTTTTCAAAGCGCGCGTTTCCGGTTGCTTCTCCTCCACGGAAAAGCCGTGGGTGTTGAGGGACAGGGCTCGGCGTGGCGAAGGCCCGGGATGAGCAGTTGCAGAGGTTCCCTAACTCGCCGCGGCTCTAACCCGCCCCCGGGGGATCGCCGGCCACAGTCCTAGTCTCACGCGGGGACGGTGACGGTGACGGTGACGGAGTGACAAGAACGCCCTGGCAGTAGTTGGCCGCAGGACTCCTTGCCAATTGGGGCAGCTCTGGGTTTTTGGAAAGTTATAGTATCAGCCCAAGGCCTGCTCTCTGGGCAGGGCTCTATGAGTGGCTGCCAGTCATTTGGGGGGCATGGGGGACGTTGTGTGTGGGTGGCTCAGCTGCCCCGCAGCCCTGGGCTGAGCTTTAGAGAAAAAGGGAAAGGCCACCCCGCCGTCCCTGCCCGCCCTGGTCAGAGGGGCAAGCGCTGGTTGGCATGAGCCTCCTGCCGCTTAATCCCTCCCAGACTCCCAGGCCCCGGCGGCAGGAAAGGCGGCAAACACACGTGTTTCTGCGTTTGCCCGCTTCTCTGTGGGTGAGGGAGCCACGGGGTCCGCTGTGGGAGAGCCACCCCCAACCCCAACCCCAACCCCGGGCTGCGGCTTCCTGACGGGGTGGGAAAGCCACTGGGTGCCACGTGCGGTCGGCCACTCCCCTGGTCCGGAACCACGCCCAATGTCAGAGATCTTGCTCCCACTCTCCAAAGAGAGAGCCAGGGCTGAGTTGGCCAGTGAACCTGCCGGGTCCCATGGCCGGGGCGCCAGGAGCAGGTGTCATTCCCACATCGGGGCGCACTCTGCCCCTCCCCTCGCGGCCCACACCTGTGAGGGGCTTAGCTACGCTCTGAGGCAGCGCCGGGCGTCTGCTCACTAGAAAATCGGGAGACCCAGGCCCCACCGTCAGAGCTCACAGCCGGCGCCTGTGCAGGGAGGCCAGGGGACAGGGCCGGGGACAGAGGGACACAGCGGCCTCCCAGGTGAGGTGTGGATGGTGCCGACCCGGCCCAGGCATCAGGGAAGGCTTCAGGGAGGAGGTGACAGCTGAGCTGAAGTTTGAAACCTGACGAGGCACCACGTGGAGTTCATGGGCTGGAAGCAGGAGCAGCCGGTGCTGGAGAAGGGACGGCGGGTCCAGGGTCCCAGAGGCGGCCGGCAGGGCTGGGGCCTGGGGTCTGGGCAGAGCTAACAGCGGAGCGGGGTTGGGGGGCGGGGAAGGCCCCTCACTGGGGGTGGCAATAGCTCGCTGAGGCGCTGAGGCGAGCCGCTCTGTCTCCCAGGAGGGGGCGTGGGGTCAGAGGAGCCGGGATGGCGGCAGGGGAGTGAGTCCTTGGCAGGTGACTGGCCTCACTGCTCTGGGGCTCGAAGGGGCCTGGGGTCATGGCCAGGGCGTGAGCCTGGAGGAGCAGGGGCAGGGACCAGGGAGAGCTGGAGGGAGAGAGAGGAGGCGACAGCCAATGCGGGTGCAGCAGCTCTCAGGGAGGGGGAGGAGGGAGGGGGAGGACAGAGGGGGAGGAGAGAAGGGGATGGAGGGGGAGGAGGGAGGGGGAGGATAGAGGAGGATGGGGGGAGGAGCACGAGGAGCAGCGGCACACGCCACACGCCACGGGTGCCATGCCTCGGTGGGAAGGGAAGGAAGGCGGGCGCGCACAGAACACGAGTGGACAGCCACGGTGCTGAGGAGGGAAGGGAAGGAGGAAAGCCGGGGGCACGGAACCCGACACCAGCACATAATGTGTTATCTGCTCAGGCTGCTGCCCAGAACACCAGGCTGGGACTTGCACAGACGTTTATTCTCTCACGGTTTTGAGGCTGGAAAGTCCAAGATCAAGGTCCCGGTGGGGCTCGGTGTCGGGCTTGCAGGTGGCCGCCTGCTCACGGTGTCCTCGCCGGGCAGGGGGAGCGAGGCACTCTTCCTCTTCCTGTAAAGAGGAGGCCCCACCCCGAGTGCCCCCTTTAACCTCAACGACCCCGTAGCGCCCCTCTCTCCAGGGACAGTCACTTTGGGGGGGAGGGCTACTTATGAATTGGGGGAGGGGACACGATTTGGACCTTAGCATGTGAGCTAAAATGCACACAGACGATGTGTCTATCACAGGCCCTCATTCTGGTGGTCGCCTGTGGAGGTAGCGGGTGGGACTGGTGGATGGAAATAAAAGGGAATCAATTTACCAACTGACCAATCAAGACAGGCCATTGTGCAGACCCGGGGGTGGCACGTGGCATGGACCCAGGCGTGTGGGAAGGCACCTGAGCTTTTTTGTGTGTTTTTTTTAATTGATTTCAGGGAGGAAGGGAGAGGGAGATGGAAACATCAGTGATGAGAGAGAATCATGGATCGGCTGCCTCCTGCACGCCCCGCACTGGGGATCGAGCCCACAACCCGGGCCTGTGCCCTGACCGGGAATCAGACCCTGATCTCTTGGTTCGTAGGTCAACACTCAACCACTGAGCCATGCCGACTGGGCGGCACCTGAGGTTTTAAAAATTGCCCGTGTCGCCCTGACCGGTCTGGCTCAGTGGATAGAGCGTCGGCCTGCGGACTGAAGGGTCCCAGGTTCGATTCCGGTCAAGGGCATGTACCTTGGTTGCGGGCACATCCCCAGTAGGGGGCGTGCAGGAGGCAGCTGATCAATGTTTATCTCTCATCGATGTTTCTAGCTCTCTGTCCCTCTCCCTTCCTCTCTGTAAAAAAATCAATAAAATATATTTTTTAAAATCGCCCGCCTCTGTGTGCGTGGTGCGTGGGTTTGGGCCAAGACGTGCATTCTGATCTCAAGTTGCCCTTTTCTTCTACAGAGTCTCCCGGGATCTCGCTCTCCGCGGCGGCACCTGAAGTCCAGGATGAGCCTGCCGAACGCCACCGCCGTGACCCCGCTCCTGGCCAGGCTGTGGCGGGAGACCACCCACCCGGGCGGCAACGCGTCCGACCCGGCCCGCCGCTCCCCGGGCGACAGCGCTGGTGAGATGGAGGCTCTCTACATCCTCATGGTGCTGGGCTTCTTCGGCTTCTTCACGCTGGGCATCATGCTGAGCTACATCCGCTCCAAGAAGCTGGAGCACTCCCACGACCCCTTCAACGTGTACATCGAGTCCGACTCCTGGCAGGAGCAGGACAAGGCGCTCCTGCAGGCGCGCGTCCTGGAGAGCTTCCGGGCCTGCTCCGTCATCCCGAACCCGCTGGCCGTGGAGCGGCCCCACGCGCACCTGCCCGGGGCGAGGCCTCCGTCGTGACCGGGTGGGGGAACTGGACAGGGCCCCCGGACAGTCCGATTCCTCTAACCCCGGACAGTCCCATTTCTCTCTCGTACTCTGTATGGTATGGACACTTTTTTTTTTTTTTTTGCTGTTATGAGGGTGAGGGGTGGGTTAGTAGCACTATTTCTCTAAAATCACATTCATTCTCTCGGAGACTGTCAGCAATCCCCCAGGTCCTGGCCTCTGGGGGTAAGAGCTGCATTTCCCAGACTCCCTTGCAGCTATCAAGGTCCTGTGATGAAGTTCTGGCCGGTAGAAGTGGGACAGAGGAGGGCAATTTCTGAGTGATGCTTGAAAAGAGAAGGACACGTCCTCCCTCCACTCCCCTTCCCTGCCTCCCAGGGGCGGGGCCTGGGGAGAGGGGAGGCAGCTCGGCTCCAGGACCGGAGGGTGTGTTCACAGATGCAGTCTCTGGGCAGTGCCACGGCAGGTTCTCCCATCCTTTCTGGACGCCCGCCCGCTCAGACTTCATAGGAAAAGGAAACCAGCTCCCATCTTCCTTAAGATGCTTTTGGTTTACGTTAAAGCAGCAGAACCAATATTCTAAGTAACATGTACTAAGATGCAGGAGAAAACGAACCCCACTTCAGAATGCATACCAGGAGGAAGGCGCTGGGTGATCATGGCAGGAGGGAGGGTGCCCCTCCCCCCCACGGGCCCAGGGGCAGAGAGGGTGTGGGCCAGTGGCACCGCCTGGGGCCGAGGTGGCAGGGCCTTGCGAGGTGTGCGCCCACGGTGGCTGACCCATGTCCCCCCAAGACATTCGTTCACGCCCCCGGGCCCTGCAGGGGTGGTTATTGGGAAACAGGTCTTTGCCGATGGCATCAAGGAAGATGAGGCCATTGGGTGACTGATGTCCTCAAAGAAGAGGGAGGTCTGGACCCGGACACACAGGAGAGCCCCGTGTGCCCACGGAGCAGAGACTGGAGTGACGCAGCCACAGCCACAGCCACAGCCACAGCCACGGTCACCTGGGTGACGCCACCACCGAAGCTGGAGGAGGCGAGGAGGAGGCCCCTGCAGGTCACGAGGAAGCGTGGCCTAGGACCGCTTGACTCCGACCTCTGGCCCCCAGAACTGGGAGGCCACGGGTTTCTGTGGTTTCAGGCCGCACGGTGTGGCTTCTCTGTTACGGCAGCCACGGGAAACGCAGGAATCACCCAGTGCCCCTCCCCCCACCCCCTCCCCGACAGCTGCTTTCCTCCCGCCTCCTTCCCCTCGCCGATGAGGTGGGAAGGGGCTGAGTGGGTGCAGGGAACATACCCGCTTCTCTTCCGCAGTAGAAGGAAGCCTCCTTAGCCCGACCTAAGAGTCCAGAGCCATGTGCCGTGGGTTTCAGCCTCCTGCTCCAGCGGCACAGCAGCGTGTACATGGACAGCCGTGGCCATGGGCAGCTTTAGCTACGGGCAGCCTTGGCCACGGGCAGCATATAGATGGACAGCCATGGCCACAGGCAGCATTAGCCATAGGAAGCCTTGGTCACGGGCAGTGATGGCCACGGGCAGCATGTAGATGGACAGCCGTGGCCACGGGCAGCATATAGATGGACAACCGTGGCCACGGGCAGCATGTAGATGGACAGCCGTGGCCACGGGCATTATTAGCCACAGGCAGCCTTGGTCACAGGCAGTGATGGCCACGGGCAGCGCTAGCACTCTGGGACCCCTTGCATGCTCACCTGCTTGGGCATTCCTAAATCCCATATAATAAAGAGCTAATATGCAAATGGTCATTGCACCCTCATGCCCTCCCGCCCTCACGCCGAGGCCGGGGGACCTGAGGCTGCGCCCCCCGCCCTGTGGGGCTTGATTGGGTGGGGGGCGGGGGGCAAAGTCCGGGTCTCGAGTGATTTCAAGGCTCACGCGGGTGGGCGGGAACTTGACTCTGGGTCCCGCAGCGCACCCCAGACTCTGACAGGAGGGAGATTCTCATATACATTTTACTAATTTTCTTTCATCTCTGACACTTCTATTATAGATAAAGCAATAGCAATATTAGAATATTTTCTCTAATTAATTCCCTTTTAATGTGCACGAATTTCATCACCCGGCCACTAGTACTTAATAAAACAATTGTTCACGACCCACACAGACTATAAAAGTAACAGCATCGTGGGCCGTCCTCAAACGGACAGCTCCGTCCCCGGCTGCGTCCTGCTTCCTGGGACAGACAGCCAGGCCTCAGGGACACTGGCAGGGTCCTGGCGTGGATGCCTACAGTGCTTCTTGGGTCATAGAGTCCTTTGAAAATCTAATGAAAGCTAATGATCCCTACCCCCTCCCCACCCCACCCCCTCGAAAGAAAATACTCATGCACAGCATCTGGGGGGTTCATGGGCCCAAAAGCCCATTTGCCTGCTGGCTCCCCTGTGGTCCCAGCTGCAGACAGACACACCTCACCCACATCGAAGGAAAGGCGGGTGGGAGCTCAGGTTTCGGGGGACCCAGGGTGTACGTGGCCCCTGTGAGTCACGGGGTCACACTGACCTTGGTGCTCCAGGCGTGGGCCTGGCTCCTTATCACCAGTCACTCCCCTGGTGACTTTTCCCGGAGGCAGAGGCCGTGCGCTGCAGTCCGCCCGTCCCGGGGGAGCCAGCCGCTCAGCTCACCCCCCCTCCCCCCCGCCCCTCACCTCTCCCAGGCCCCTCGCCCCGTCACTGTGAGTCAGTGTGTCATGACTCCGTTTGCTCCTCAGATTCTTGGGACTGGCCGAGGGAGTCCGCCCTGGAAAAGCAGACCTACTGTGTGCGCACCTCGCTGACTCAGACGGGGCAGCGTTAGCCAAGCCTCACACCACGCCTGCCCCGCGCCCCCCGGCCTGGCTTTAATACTGCAGGAAAGATATGCAATTCTTTGGTCTGTTGACCTTGAAGAGCTAGCTCCAACCATGACCTGTCATGGAGCTGCTGAGGGCACAGGCGCAGGGAGGTTCAAGGACACACCCAAGGTCATCGTTGCTGAATGACCCAAGTGGAGGTCAGCAGGAGCTCTGCCTCCCTAACTCCCGGCTCTTGTCCTGCTGACCAGGCCGGGGCTCCTGGAGGCCGGCGAGGCGGGACGGAGCACAGGGCGGCTCAGGGGGACGCATCCCTGTGGCCGCAGAGCAGAGACCACGGACACTGCGGGGCGGGGACGGCGATGCCCCGACTTACTCTTCCGCACACGCAACTTGATCATTTTTACAGGCTCCCGCTTGTGGTGTCCGGCAGTTCATTCTCTAAAGGGCCTAACGCCCCCTGCTGGGTGCCGGGGTGGCTCCGAGGGCAGGAGGTCTGACCCATCTGCCCGGCCGCCGGGCGACCCAGCCGAGGGGAGCCCCTGCGGGACTGTGGGTGAAACGCCCCGCCCCCCGCGCTGGCCTGCCTCCTGCCGCGGTGGGCTCGTGCTTGACGGCAGCCCACAGGCAGAGCAAGCGTGCGCATCCCCCGCCCTTCGCGCCTGCAGGCAGCGCCGTGTGGCGCGCAGACCGCCGCCTGGCTCCCTGGAGGGCGCCCCAGCCCACACGCACAGCAGTGCCTGCTCCCTGGGCGCCGTGAGGGCGAAGGTAAGTCACACTTCGGAGATAAGCAAAGGTCAGGAGGACCGAGGACAAAAGAAACGGGCGGGGAGCGGGGAGGGGATGGGCGCGGAGGGTGACTGTACGGACGCAAACTCCTTGGATAGTCAAACAAGTCTAAGTGCGGCGAGGAGCGGGGAGGGTGGGGGGTGAGCCCTGGCCCCGGGTGCGCGGCGTCTGTGAGTCAGCAAAGCCCGAGCCGCACCAGCTCCTGGGCGGTCTGCGGGCTCCACTGCGGAAAGGAACTCGGGGCGCGGCTGCCCCCTGGTGGTCACGCGGGGCACACCCCTCAGTGCCTGCCGGGCCGAGGACCACCCGGAGCAGGTGGGGGCCGCTTGGGGCTGGGGAGGTCCCCTTTAGAGACTCTCAGGGAAGTGACTCCTATTCACGTGCCGGGTTCAGCGAGACAGGCCGGCCAAGGCCCCTCCTCCGAGCGGGGCGCTCAGAATTCTTGGGACTCGCTGCGCCACCCCCCTCCCCCCCCCCCCCCCCCGCCTTTTGTGATGGAGCCCGCCTCGCCCATGGCCAGGGAAAACTCTCCCCTCCCTTCCAGCTCTTGGAAATCCGTCTCTCAGCCTATCGAAGCCCCTTCAGGCCCGGGCTGGAGCCCCTGTTCTGTGCGTGGAGGAAGGACTCCCCCGGGGGGGACCGTAGAGGCCCCCGATGATCTGACCTCCTCACCGCACTGGTGAGGGCCAGAGGCCCAGGCGAGGCTGTGGGGATGGCCCAGCGCGCATTCCCCGCGGGACAGGGCAGGTCGGGGCTCATTGGGCCTCTAGTCCCTGGAGCGGGATGTGCTGTGGAGGAGGCTCCCTTCTCCCGGCTGCGCCCAGGACACGACATGGACCCTGTAACCATCTTGCCCCCCCCCCCCCCGCATTCCCTTTGGACCTTCCACACCTGCCACTGTGAGCAGACGATGCCCAGCGGCCCAGCCCACGCTCAGGACGGTCCGACAGCACAGTCACCGGAGGCCAACAGGACTGGGACCCATCAGTGACGCAGTAGAGTCATTTCATGCCTTCTGATGGCCCTGCAGAAGCTTAGGGATAGGGATAGGGTTAGGGTTAGGGTTAGGGTTAGGGTTAGGGATAGGGTTAGGGTTAGGGTTAGGGTTAGGGTTAGGGTTAGGGACAGTGTTAGGGTTAGGGTTAGGGTTAGGGACAGGGTTAGGGTTAGGGATAGGGTTAGATATAGGTTTAGGTTTAGGGTTAGGGTTATGGATAGGCTTAGATATAGGTTTAGGGTTAGGGTTAGGGATATGGTTAGGGATAGGGATAGGGATAGGGTTAGGGTTAAGGTCAGGGTCAGGGATAGGGATAGGGTTAGGGTTAGTGTTAGGGTTAGGGTTAGGGTTAGGGACAGTGTTAGGGTTAGCGTTAGGCTTAGGGTTAGGAACAGGGTTAGGGTTAGGGATAGGGTTAGATATAGGGTTAGGGTTAGGGTTAGTGTTAGGGTTAGGGTTAGGGATAGGGATAGGGATAGGGATAGGGTTAGAGTTAGGCTTAGGGTTAGGGATAGGGTTCGAGATAGGGTTAGGGATAGGGTTAGGGATAGGGATATTGATAGGGATAGGGATAGGGATAGGGATAGGGATAGGGATAGGGATAGGGTTAGGGTTAAGGTCAGGGTCAGGGATAGGGATAGGGTTAGGGTTAGTGTTAGGGTTAGGGTTAGGGTTAGGGTTAGGGTTAGGGACAGTGTTAGGGTTAGGGTTATGGTTAGGGATAGGGTTAGATATAGGTTTAGAGTTAGGGTTAGGGTTAGGGTTAGGGTTAGGGTTAGGGACAGTGTTAGCGTTAGGTTTAGGGTTAGCGATAGGGTTAGGGTTAGGGATAGGGTTAGATATAGGGTTCGGGTTAGGTTTAGGGTTAGGTTTAGGGACTGTGTTAGGTTTAGGGTTAGGGTTAGGTTTGGGTTTAGCATTAGGTTCACCATGGAGCCTACTATGGGTGGGTCAGAATCACCCATTAGTGTGTCAGTGGAGTAATTTTATCCCCCTGATGACCTCTCAGAATCAGGTGGATACGGAGCATGACAATAGGAGGCTAACCCCTTGTAGGAGATCATAAATTCTGAATTTGCCACAGGGAGGAGCAGTGGAAAGTTGCTTTAACCCTAAACCTCATGCTAACCCATATCCTACATCTACACCTACCTCTACCTCTACCCACAACCCTACCCCTACCCCTAACCCTAACTGTAACCCTTACCCTAACCCTAACCAATAACCCTAACCGTAACCCTAATCCTCACCAAAAATCCTTATCCTAAACCTAATCCTTAACCCCTAACCCTAACCCTAACCCTAACCCTAACCCTAACCCTAACCGTAACCCTAATCCTCACCAAAAATCCTTATCCTAAACCTAATCCTTAACCCCTAACCCTAATCCTAACCCTAACCAATAACCCTAGCCCTAACCTAACCCTAAACCTAACCAATAACCCTAACCCATAAACCTAACTCTAACCCTAGCCCTAAAACCTAACCCTAACTATAACCATAATCCTAACCTTAACCCTAACATTATCCCTACCCCCTAAGCCTAACCCTAAAACTAGAGCTAATTTAACCCTAACCTTAACCCCTAACCCAACCCTATCCCTAAACCCTAACCATAAACTATAACCAGAACCCTATCCCTAAACCCTAACCCTAACCCTAACCCTAGCCCTAGCCCTACCACTCACCCACAGTGAATGAGGGTGGGTCCCTGTCCCCCGCTGCCCACCTGCTCACCCACCCCTGCGTCTCTCACACTCGACAGTCTTCCGAAACCCGCTGCTGTCTAGTTAGAGACACAATGCAGGAGGCAAGCTGGCTGGGCTCACCCCCAGGCCAGAAAGGCTCCCCCAGGACAAGGGCGGGCTCAGGACAAACTTGGCTACGAAAGGCCTGAGCCAGCAGGAAGCAGGGAGAATTCCCCGGGACCCACGGGAAAGAGCCCCGGGCTCCAGATGGCTCTTCACACACGGCTTTGGAGTGAGGGTTTAGTGAGGGACTCTATTGCTTCCTGTCGCTGCCATGGCCATTTACCACAGGATTAGTGGCTTGAAACAGCCACGATTTATTCTCGCCCAGTTCTTGAAGCCAGAGGTCCGAAATCTCGGTGTCGGCAGCGCCATACCCTCCTTGGGGTCCTGGGAGAGGTCCCTTCCCTTCCAGCCCCTGAGCGCCAGCTCTCCTTGGCTGTGGCCGCATCCTCCGCTCTCGGCGTCCATCTCCTCCTCTGGGGCATCCTTCCTCCTCACAGAGCGAATCCTGGCTCCAGGCCCACCTCCTCCAGGTGCTCTCATCGGTGGGCCCTTCGCTGATCACATCCGCAGCGGCTCCTCCAAACAAGGCCGCGTTTTGAGGTTCTGGGCGGACACAGCCCCTTACAGGGGTTCCGGGCCGACGGGAAGAGCGATGCCAGGCGCGGAGCTCGGTGTTAACCGTTCTCACCACACGGAAGTCGCTACCGTCAGCCCAGCTGTGGCTTTCCCACCTGCAGTTCGCCGCGTGTTCCTGTCCCTCGGCTTTTCCAGCGAGCTGGGCGGTC